TTAGGTTTTAATCTCAAAGACAGACAATAAACACATACATATACGATCTAAGAAACATTTTCAAATGAAAATAAAGCAAGAGAAGAGAATAGAGACTGGTCGTAGATGTTGGAGGACGAGTAGCTTACACATGGAAGAGCTGGGGTTAATTGTTGAAGTTGTAGTAGTCTTTGCTAAAGGCACAAATAAGTTGGGTGGGAGAAAGCTCCACAATGGCACATCTTTCCTCCAATAAGGAGCACTCTTCCGAAAATCAGAACCATCCAAGTAACAACCAAAATCTTAGCTAGTTTGTGAGCTATTCAGCAAGAAGGATTTGGGTAGACACTAAATTGTCTATCTGTGACGTTTCTGAGGAACTTACATACTGACTGGGATTTGGCCAAGTTAATCCATTTGCTCAGTTCCAACACTGAGGCTTTTGTGATCCATTCTGTCTCTCGTAGTCATCACTACTGATCCTTTTTGCTTCCTTCCTCTTCGCTGTCTTAGGCCTCCCCTCCTTTCCCCCAGCACTCACTCTCTTTCTTTCCTTTCTTCTTTCTTCTTAGGCTTCCAAGGCCCTGTAAGTGAAGGCTAATTGCTTTTATTATTTTCCTCCTTATTGTCTTTAGCTGATAATAAGGAATATTTTTAAATAAGATTTTTTTGAATATGAATGTTATTGAGGCCTTAGTTGAGTGCAATGTATAATAGCTATTTAAAGGTTTGTTTTTTTTGTTTTGTTTTGGTTTTGGTTTTTTTTGCCAGGCAGAGTTAGACAGTGAAAGAGAGAGACAGAGAGAGATAGAGAGACTTGAGAGTTATAGACAGTGAGAGATACAGAGAGAAAGGTCTTCCTTCGCTTGGTTCACCTCCCCAAATGGCCGCTATGGCCAGTGCTGCACTGATCCGAAGCCAGGAGCCGGGTACTTCCTCCCGGTCTCCCATGTGGGTGCAGGGACCCAAGCTCTTGGGCCATCCTCTGCTGCCCTCCAACGCCACAGCAGAGAGATGGACTGGAAGAGGAGCAACCGGGACTAGTACCCGGCGCTTTACACGGTGTGCTGGCACTTCAGGCAGAGGATTAGCCAAGTGAACCATGGTGCCAGCCAGTTATTTAAAGTTTTAAGCAACAGTAGTTTATGTCCATGGTAGAATATCATGAAGTATAAATGTTTGTGTTCTGACATTCTTATCATTCACTTTACTAAAATAACCAAAAGTTTAGATATCTATATCAAATAGTACAATTTGCATTATGTCCTGTTTGTCTTAAGAGTTTTACTTTATTTTATTTTAAATATTTATTTATTTATTTGAAAGGCAGAATTACAGATTGAGGGAGAGAGATCAATCTTCCATCTGCAGGGTCACTCCCAGTATGGCCAGGACTGTCACTGGGCCAAGACAAAGCCAAGAGCCTAGAACTCCAGCTCATTCTCCCATGTTGGTAGCAGAGAACCAAATGCCCAAACAGCATCATTTTCTGCTTTCCCAGGTGTACTAGCAGGGAGCTGGATAGGAAGTAGAACAGCTTAATGTGCTGAACCACAATGCCAACCCCTGCCTTCATAATTTTAGTTAACCAGGTTACGGTCAATACTCTTCTCCAAGATGCTCCTCATTAATCAGATCAGTATTGCTGATAACCATTTCCTTCGCACAAGTTATGACCAACTCTGTATCCTGTGATAATCTAATTTAGGAGATGTTTTCGTTGAGCACTTCATGTGCTATATTACGAGCTGGTTACATTGTATTTATTTATATATAATCTTTATAACAAATGCCTGTAATTTGGCTCCTTTATCTTCAGATCACTAATGAAAACATTGTCCTCAGAGTTTAGAGGGACTGCTCAAGTTCACATAGTTTGCAAGAGCCAGGACTTGAACTCAAATCTAGGGCAGCTTGATTCCAAATCCCTGCCTTTTCCATTGCATCAGCCTCCTGGCTTGTTAGGCTTACAAACTAACTACTTTTGCCTTGAGAAAGGAGAACCCTGGTATTTAATTAACAATGGTTTATTAATGAGATATTGAGTCTCCTCTGAGTAATTTAAATCCAATGAAACTGTCTGTATCATTTCTTTCACTTTATAATCTCTACACAAAATTCCTGATTTGAACACTTACTGAGGTTCAAAATGTAGCTTTTTGTAAACTTAAGACATCATTTTTAAAAAGATTTATTTGAAAGTCAAAGTTACAGAGAGAGAGAGAGAGACAGAGCAGGGGCTGCACTGGGCAGAAGCCAGGAGTCAGGAGCTTCTTCCTGAGCTCCCATATGGAAGTTTGGGCCCAAGCACTTGGGCCATTTTCTGCTGCTTGAACCAGCACCCACATGGGATGCTTGTTTTGCAGGTGGAGGCTTTACCTGCTATGCCACAATGCTGATCCCAAGACAACATCATGTCAAAGAAGAAAAAGAAATTTGATTTTAATACAGCAATGAATATTTATGTTCCACATAATTCATTCATATTTGAAAAGTTTTTGTACATATAAAATAAACTTGTAATGTCATGTTATTTGGCATATGGATATTAATGCTACCTTCACTGAATTATTTCTTTTACATAATAATATTCCTTTCTTCTCTTATTTTATATTTGTAATGAGTTACACATTGTGTGATGTCAATACAGCCATCATTGCTCTAAAAATAGTATATATGTCTAAGTCTGTAATTTTGTGTGTGTGTGTTTATTAAGCAAATAAGGCAAAATGTTAGAAACTGTTAAATTTATGCAAGAGCACAGCAGGTTAAACCACCACTTGCAACACCTTCATCCCATGTGAGAGTGACAGTTTACGACTCGGCCCCTCTTCTAATCCTGTTTCTTTTTTTTTTTTTTTTAAGATTTACTTATGTATTTGAAAAGCAGAGTTACAGAAAGAGAGATAGAGATAGAGATAGAGATAGAGATAGAGATAGAGATAGAGATAGAGATAGAGATAGAAAGAGAGAGAATCTTCCATCCCTGGTTCACTTCCCAGATGGCTGCAATGGCCAAAGCTGGGCCTGGCTGAAGCTAGGAGCCTGTAACTAACTCCATCTGGGTCTTCCATGTGACTGTCAGGGGTCCAAGCACATGGGTCACCTTCTATTGCTTTCCCAGTCTCATTAGTAATGGAACTAGATCAAAAGTGGGGCAGTTAGTATTTTTACAAGCACTCATATGGGATGCTGGCATCTCAGGCAGCAGCTTAACCCACTGTACAACAATGCTGGTCCCTCCGATACAGTTTTCTGCTGTTGCATCCTGAGAGGCAGCAGATGATACTTCAAGTGCTTGGGCCCCTGCCACCCACCAGGGAGATGAAGATGAGTTCCGTGCTCCCAGTTTTTCCTGAACCAGTCGTGGCTATGCAGGCATTTGAGGAAGTGAATCGTCTCTGTCTCTTGTCTCTGTCTCTGTCTCTCTCTGTCTCTCTGTGAGTATATGTGTGTGAGTTTGTCTCTCCTTCTATCACTGTGCCCTTCAAGTATGCCCTTTAAATGTTGTTAAATTTGTTCCATGATCATTTAAGTCTTCATTGTTTTTCCTGTATTTTTTGAAATATTTATGATAAAATTATATAATTATATATTTTATAATAAAAATTACCAAATCTTGATCCACTAAGAGGTTTTCAAGAGTCCTCTCTCTTTTCCAGAGGAGATATTACATTGCATGGTAAGCCATAAAAATGTATGTTTTATGACAGTTATAATGAAATAAAATTGAACATAAAATTAATTCTGTGAGATTGGAAAGATATTTTCACCGGTATATTCTACCCTCTTTGGGGATAAGTTGATTATTTATGGCATCTTTGTCACTTATGGACCCAGGAGCCTCGATAACATTTTCATCTCAGAGGTGTAAGTGCTGAAGACTTGAATCTGCCATTCTTGGATTTATATGTGAATATATGTCGATAATAATAAGAATTGAGTTTGGTTATGAGTATTTTTTATTTTTTATTTTTTTTTAATTTTTTTGACAGGCAGAGTGGACAGTGAGAGAGAGAGACAGAGAGAAAGGTCTTCCTTTGCCGTTGGTTCACCGTCCAATGGCCGCCGCGGCCGGCACGCTGCAGCCAGCACACCGCGCTGATCCGATGGCAGGAGCCAGGTACTTCTCCTGGTCTCCCATGGGGTGCAGAGCCCAAGGACTTGGGCCATCCTCCACTGCACTCCCTGGCCACAGCAGAGAGCTGGCCTGGAAGAGGGGCAACCGGGACAGAATCCGGCGCCCCGACCAGGACTAGAACCTGGTGTGCCGGCGCTGCAAGGCGGAGGATTAGCCTAGTGAGCCGCAGCGCCGGCCTTAGCATAAGTACTTGAACAGAAGAACTGCAATATGAGAAAATGAAACCGTGGCTTGTAATGTTGACTCTGTACAGTAATAGGCTCTCTCTGAGACATGTGCAACTTACAGAATCAAAGATGTCTACAAAAGACATCTTTATCATTGGCAGTAGCATACATGTTAAGATATGGTAATATTATATAGAAAAGGTTTACCAATGATGGCATTTTAAAAATTGAAAATGAAGAAGTGGAAACGAATCACAAAGTCTTCTAATAAAAAGTCTTAGTGTTTGGGGGCTGGGTAAGGGTATGGTGTTGACGGAGGGATGATGAAGGACAGGTTGGCAGTGAATTAGTACTTAGGTTTGTAAAGGTGTGAGTGCAGCACAGGTGAGAATATCACACCCAGGCTCCCAAGTACAAGTGCGGCATAGATAATCCAGAAGCAAATGAAAAGCAGGGGCTGAGCACAAAGAATGTTTGCTGAGAGATGAAAGTGAGAGTTTGGGTCTGCTCTGTTGCATCTATTTTGACAGCTTCTTTAGCACTCAGTGCAGAAAAACCTGGACATGAATTTAGAAATAATGGAATATGCAGTATAGACTATTTGTTAGAAACCTCTAAGATATGCCATGTGAACCACTGGAAATGAACCATCCTGATCTGGCATAACTACTGAGCTGTGTGCTTAGAGAAAGAGGCAGAGAGGAAAAAAATAGGAGAGCCAGAGTGTGGCAGCTTTTTTAAATACAAGATCATGAACAGCGAGGGGGAGAGGATACCATTTTTTTTTCTTTTTTTCATTTAAAGTATTTTGATAAATCCTGGCAGAGGCTCCAATTTTCATAAGAGAAACACAAGGAAGGGTGTGTCTTTTTATTACCAAATTCTTGTTAACACAGCTAAGTGGTTATTTACTCAAATGCATTAACTGAGTTCTCCTTATGGGCAAAGTGTTGTTCTCAAGCAGACAATCTTCTGTAGAAATAAAGTGGGCTGCTGTAATTATAAATTTCAAAAAATTATAAAATATAACATCAGGCGTTCAGGACTTCAGTATACTCAAATACCCTAATGACAGGAAAAGCTCCCCCTGCTCCTGTTTCTGGAAGTGGCCAGTTTATTTACAGGGAACAGATCAGGTATCAGAAAAATATAATCCAAACTTAAGCATTCATAAAAGATGGAGTTAGGGAATGACTGTACCTTTATGATATAATACAAACAACACAAAGTATATTCTGAGTCTAAAATGCTAACATCTATGCAAGCCAATCAAGAAAATGACACAGCTCAATACAAACCAATATCTACTTCAAAATAAACCAACTTACAGACCAACTACAGTTTATGGGAAAAATAAAAATATAAAACACCAATCCTTCCCTTAGACACATGGCCTCACTGCAAGGCAATGGGGTAGGCTGGGTAAATGCATGGCACACAGTAATCAAACAACACAACCAAGTTGACTGTGTGTGGTCCCAATGACTTTTCAACATATTTTTCAACATTGCAGTTGTAGGAATGGAAATTGAAGAACTAAATATTTTCTTACACATAGCTGACAAGTTTCTTACTGCCCCAAAGTGAAAGCATGGCACATCCCCACCTCAACACAAGCTATTTTGTCCATCATAAGTAAGATGTGATTTCATAGGACATCAGGTTCCCAAGGTCTAAGTGCTTCCTTCATATGTTCTCATTTTTTTTCCCTGAACTAAATAGGCTCCCCTTCCAGGTCAAGTGCTATCTTCTGGCAAAGTACCTTCAGGATAAACACGTGTTATCATGGATCTATGCCACACTTCCAGACTCCACTGACAAACTTAACACTCAACTCCTGCTCTTTCTTTTCACAATTCCCTGTGATTTGCTTTAAGCTATCATTTAAAACTAGAAAGAAAAAAAAAACATAATTCCCTCTGAAGAAGAGACTTCTTCAAAGAGCACAATGCTGTTTCCAGCTCTTGCTCTGCCCTCCAAAGTCAAACTCAACCTCATGGAAGTGAAATTCTCTTGAAAAGAGTAGTCTCCCATTCATAACTTGCTAATAATTTTCTTCTTTTTTTTTTTTTTTGACAGGCAGAGTGGACAGTGAAAGAGAGAGGGAAAAAGGTCTTCCTTTGCCGTTGGTTCACCGTCCAATGGCCGCCGCGGCCGGCGCACCGCGCTGATCCGATGGCAAGAGCCAGGTACTTATCCTGGTCTCCCATGGGGTGCAGAGCCCAAGGACTTGGGCCATCCTCCACTGCACTCCCTGGCCACAGCAGAGAGCTGGCCTGGAAGAGGGGCAACCGGGACAGAATCCGGCGCCCCGACCAGGACTAGAACCCGGTGTGCTGGTGCTGCAAGGCGGAGGATTAGCCTAGTGAGCCGTGGCGCCGGCCAGCTAATAATTTTCTAAATGTAGTGATTAAATAAAATTAAAATCAAATAATAATTAAATAACAAACTTAAAATAAGTTTTAAAAAATATAGAGATAGGTCAGTTTCCAACAAATTCACATTTCTTTCTGTGCCAGTTTCCACAATGAGTGGGCAACACTGCCCCCGAAAGGATTTCTGGTGTTAACGTCCCTCAGCTCCTAGAGTGAGAAACTGTCCAGGGTGCACTACCTAGTGGCCACCACACATTCTTTTGTTTCTGGGACGCAGTCTACTCTGGACCACCTGCAAAAGACCTGAAGACTTGGTGTTTCCAGAAAGGCCATGAGACCTCTGGAAGAAGATCAGAAATCAGCATTTGTTACAGTGGTTTCAAAACCTTAGCCTGCAGAATCACCCAGAGGGCTTCTATTACCTCAGGCTGCTGGGCCCCATATCCAGAGATTCTGATTTGTCTATCAGGGTTCTGCCCAGGAATTTGCCTTTCTAACAAGATGTCAGGCAATGCTCATTTGCCAGTCCAAGGACCATACTTGGTGAGCCAGGCACTGAACTCAATCTTCACAACTGGCTGAGAGGTTGTATGCACTGTTTTACAGGACAGGAATCCAGTCTGGGAGAGATCAGGTGGCCCAGGCCATGCCATTGTTCACAAAGCCTTTAATAAACTCACAGTGTCTGACTCACAGCCCACCACTCTCTTCCCTGAACTCCATGGCAGGGACTGAAGGGGTCAGTGACCTCCCTGCTTTCTGGCCTCAGCTTCTTCATACAACAGGCAGGACTCCATGACTGCTCAGCTGGCCTCCCCTCTAGAAGCACCTGCAGGTCTGGCTTGAAGCCAACCAGGAAAAGTCAGCTCCATTCCCAGGATACTGGAGGGAGGAGCGGGCCAAGCCAGTTCCAGGTTTCTCTCTGGATCCTGAATCTTCCTATGAAGCTTAATGAGGCGCAGGTTTGCTCTGGATTCTGAAATTCCTTGTTACCACAAACTCTGGAAGAGAGGCTTAAAAACAGGTGTCTCCTCTTAGGGGCACTTTGAGGACATCAAAGCCTAGTGGAATTTGGAGGGGACCCAGAGTGGGGGTATCCTCTCCAGTTTCAGCTCAAACCACCAGAGCAAGGGCAGGCATATGGTGCAGGGGCCTCATCCCATGTCAGAGTGCCTGGATTCCAGGCCCAGCTCTGCTTCCAATGCAGCATTCTGCTGATGCACACTCTAGGAGGCAGCAAGTGATGTTCCAAGAACGTGAATCCCTACCACCAACGTGGGAAATCCAGATTGATTTCTGGGCTACTTGCTTCTGCCTGACCCAGCCCTGGCTGCAGCAGGCATCTGGAGAGTGAAGCGGTAGACAGAAGATCGCTATCTGTCTCTGTCTCGCGGCCTTTCAAATAAATAAGAAATAAATAAAAATTTAAAAATAAAAGCCACCATGGTAGTGAGCCCTTGCCTCCTCTGTCCCACCCCAAAGACTGAAACAGGAGTGTCTCCCCACTGTGGAAGACAGAAAAAGGGAAAATGTTTCAGTTCACATAGTCCCTCAGGAACACGCAAAAGTCTGCAGCCCCCAAGCCCAGGCAGGAAGTCACACGAGAGGATAAAGGGCCTTGGAGACCCTCCCGCTTGGCACAGCTTTTCTCAGTCTTTGCACTCAGCTCAGGGTTTTCCTGCAGGAGTTACAGATTTGGAGCATCCCATGGGGATGGCGTCTGGCCTCGGTCATGGGCGGGAAAGGATGGTCTCAGAAAAACAGCCCCGCGGGCAGGTCAGCTGAGACCTTGAGGTCGTGGCCGAGGCTGGACTTGGTGCAGAGCCGGACCCGGGCCTCCAGCTGCTCGCTGAGTTCGTCCAGGGCCCCCGTGCAGGACTCCAGGCTCTCGGCCAGTTTCTGAATCTTGGCCTTCAGCACGGCCTGGCTCACCCTGGTGGCCCCCTCTGCCCGCCTGAGGACGAGGAAGCCGCGTGAGCCGAAGACGACGATGAAGTAGACGGAGTTGTACAGGGCCATGGAGGCGTTCCTGCCGCTCTGCAGCAGCTGGCGGCCCCCGCGCCCGTGGCAGCGGCAGAAGAACTCGAGGCAGCTCAGGAGCTCCCGCATCTGGTGCTGGCACGTGGCCGCGATCTCCTGCACCTTCCATAGCTCCCGGGAGTTGCAGATCAGGGAGAGGTCGGCCGTGATGGTGACGGCCCCTCCGGCCGTGGCTACCCCCAACCCCACGCCCGACGCCAGCAGCGAGGCCCCTAGCGTGACCGGGCTTAGGGATAGCCCCACGACTGCACCCACGGCGCCCGCCGCGCTCAGCGAGCTGCCCGCCCTGTTGGCCGCCACCTCGCGCAGGCGCAGTCGCTCGCCGTGCAGCCGGCCGCGCCGGTCCAGCAGCAGCCCCCGGAAGCGCCGCAGCGCGTCGGCGTCCCGCCGCTCCCAGGCCGCCGGGCCTTGCGTGGCTTGCGCGGACTCGGACGCGCCGTCAGCCAGGAGCCTCGCCGCCGTCCTGAAGCCGGGGGTCGTCGAAGCTCCGCGGAGCCGCTACTGCCACCTTGCGGGAAGCGGGTGAAGTCCGCGGGAGCCGGCGCTGGGCTCTGAGAACAACCACGGGTCCTCTGTTCCTCAGGTTCGCATCATCCACTTCAGGCTGCCTCTGGGAAGGGAAAGTCCGAGATACCGTTTTTGTTCGCTGATTTTTAAGGGAAAATGCCTTTGCTCGCTTGTAAAGATTAGCACTGAGTAGCCTCTGATCAAGGGTCAGTTTCTTGTCCCTTGGAAGAAGGCAGATGAGTAAAGCTGTGGAGAGCGAAGCTAAATGTCCCATCTCCTCGCACCCCTGTTCACTCCCGCGCTGCGTTCTCGTCTGGTGGGTTACAAGCACAGTCTGTGAAACAGGCTTGGCTGACACAGGCGCTGGGGCAAAGGGCAGGCTGTCCCAGTCTGCACTTCCTGACAGTCTTCCTTAGCTATTGGCCACTACTCTGTGGATGTTCTTGTGATCAAAAAGATAGACAATTTATCCGGTGTGCACAGAGATTTTAAAACATGAAAAAAATGATAACAATTTAAAGTCTTTTTTACGTAAGCCGAAAAAGTCACCTCATATTCTATTTTCCATTCATGCTATACCCAAACACATTATGTAGCATCAAGCAACAGAAATTGTACAATGAGTCCCAAACTTTAATATTGAGTTACAAAGGACTTACGCAGGACATAGTAAATAATCCACCAGAGATGAAAAGTTTAAATGGAAAATTTCCATTAAGAATTAAAATTATTAATTATGGAGAGAGGAACTGAATAAATATAGCCCCAAATCGTTCATGGAAAAAAATAGTGCTAAGCCTTAAAAAATTTTGAGAATAAAAATAAGGAAAAGGTTTCAATCCTCTTACAATAATATACTAGGATAACTAAACCCGATAGAAGTAACACAAAAAAAGACGTTACATAACATCACCACTAAGAATATCAAATCAAAAATGCTAAACACAAGGTTAATCAATGAATTCAGCACTGAGCTAAGAATATAAAGCTCCTGGATTGAAAAGGACTTATTTGAATACAAGACTTTTCAATATTAAGATACTATAATATAATATTAATAAATTTAAAGATAAAAGAAAAATCTAAAAATGTCTACAAGCGATGAAGAAGCCATTGACAAAAATCATATTTTTATTCCTTCTCACTAATGTGCTCTATTAAATAGAAGATAGATAACTCTATAAATGTGCCTCCTTAACTATATGTGTGTGTATAGAGAGAGAATGAGTGTATATATTATATTTTTGTATATATAGTATACTATAGTATATATTATATATACAGATAAGGAACAGAGTGGTTATTTCCTCCTCTACTTCTTATTTTGAACAATTTAAAACTTACAGAACTGTTTCAAAAATGAAACAATGATCATTCACATATTATTCAACTGAATTTACCAGTTATTAACACTTTGCCACCTTGGTTTCAGCATTTTTGCTTATACCACACCAGATGCATGCACACATACACATGCTATACATATATGCTGTACCACGTGGGAGATGTCTGTACATCGTGACACTTCTTCTCTAAAATTTTTAACACCATCTAAGAGTGTGCAGATATTTTCCTTCAAAGCCACAATACAACTACCACACTTAATAAGTTTAACATTGATTCAAATGTATTATTGAACATATAATCCACATTTAAATGTCATCAGTGATCCCAATAATGTAGGTCATAGGTTCTTTTTCTTTTTTACTTTTTTATTTTTTAAAGAATTTATTAATACATTGGATTCAGAGAGACAGTAAATGCATGATAATTACTACAGCACAGTTCTCATCAGTTCTAAAGTTAATGTGTTACTAATGCAAAGAGACTAGATTCGGTGCAGTTCATAGATACAATTCTAAGAATATAATGATACTTGCAGTCCTCTCTCCTTCTTTCCTCTCCTTTCTTAATCCCTCTTTTCTTCCTCCCTCCCCCCTCTTCCACCCCCTCATTTTTATTTACATCTAACTATCTAGACAATGACTATCAATTTTCTTTAGTATGCATTAACCCAGAATTTTTCCTCTGTCTTATAATATTTTTAAAGATTTACTTATTTATTTGAAAGTTAGAGTTACACACAAAAGAGAGAAGGAGAAGCAAAGAGAGAGAGGTCTTCCATCCGCTAGTTCATTTCCCAATTGACCATAACAGCCAGAGCTGCACCAAACAGAAGCCAGGAGCCAGGAGCTTCTTCCTGGTCTCCCACATGGGTGCAGGGGCCCAAGGACTTGAACCATTTTCTGTTGCTTTCCCAGGCCACAGCAGAGGGCTGGATCTGAAGTAGAGCAGCCAGGACTTGAATCAACATCCCTATGGGATGCTGGCACTGCAGGCAGTGGCTTTACCCACTACGCCACAAAGCCGGCCCAATGATACTGGTATTTTTAAATAATCATGTTAATTATACAGATTACCTCTCAGTTTTTTCTCTTTTGTTAAAATAACTAATGTTTTTTTTTAAGTTTCAGAATAATTTTAGATTTACAAAACAAAAGTTGTGAAGTTTTACAAAGGGTTCCCACATACTGCACCCCCAATTTCCCGTTGTTAGCATCTGCTTTAGCTTATTTGTTGCAATCTATAAGCCACGCCCAGTTTCCCTTATATTTTTTAATCCAAATTCCTTCTGTCTTTCCCATCCCACCAAGTCTCTGCTTATCAACATTCTGTGTTCATATAGAAGTGTTTTTTTTTTTTAATTAAGCTCCTACATATAAGGGAGAACATACAGTATTTGTCTTTCTATATCTGACATTTCATTCAACAGGGTGCCCTCTAGCCCCATCCACTTTGCTGCAAATGATAAGATTTTATTCTTTTTATTGCTGACCAATATTCAGATTTGTATATTTATCACATTATCTTTATCCACTCAACTGATGATGGACACCTTTGTTGAGTCTATGTCTTGGTTACTGTGAAAAGTGCTGCAATAAACATGGAAGAGTAGGCATCTCTTTGATGCAATGATTTCATGTATTTGGATATATACCCTATTTATCTACTTTTTTCCTCATGGTTAGATGTAGTTTGATACGATATGTTATGATATAATGTGATATGATATTTAATCTTTCTCTAGTGGATATAGGAGTATTCTGGGGAGAATGAGAGTGCTCTAGGTTGAGAGTAAGGCCCTCAATGAAGAAGTGAAGGTTACCAAAAATAAACCATTCAAACATCTTAATTTAATATGGAATTTATTTGAAACTAGATACTCTTACAAACAGAAATGAAAGATAAATTCTGTTTTAAAAGTGCTAACCATTGAAAGTGTCATTTTTTACACAGACTCAGAAAATATTCTACTACTGAGAAATTTCTGTAGAGCTTCCTTGACATCCTTATTCCTAAGGCTATAGATAAGGGGGTTAATCATGGGAATCACTGTGGTGTAAAATACAGAGGCCACCTTCTCCTGGATTGTGTCGCTGGTAGATGGTTTAAAATACATGAAGATGATGGAGCCATAGAAAACCCCAACAGCTGCAAGATGGGAGCTGCATGTACTGAAGGCCTTGGACCTACCTTCAGCTGAACGAATTTGCAGAATGCTGGAAAGGATGAAGGTGTAAGAGATGAAGATGGGTAACACACATGCAAATACGTTAAATCCAACCAGAATCATCACTAAAAGCTCCTTAGTGTTGTCTCTTGAGCAAGATATATTCAGAAGAGGAAGGATGTCACAAAAATAGTGATGGATGACATTAGTCCCACAGAAGGAACGGCTAGATATATAACTGGTATGGACAAAAGCCCCCAAAGCTCCCATTGTATACACACTGGTGACCAGTAGAAAACAGATACGGGGGGACATGGTGACATTGTAGAGCAAGGGCTTACAGATGGCAACATAACGATCATATGCCATGGCTGTCAGCATGTAGGAGTCATCAATGCCAAAGAAGCAAAAGAAAAAGAGCTGGGCCATGCACTCAGGAAAAGACAAGGAGTTCTTCTCTGAAACAAAGTTCATTAACATCTTGGGAATTATGACAGATGAATAACAGAGATCTATGAAGGACAAGTTACTGAGAAAATAGTACATAGGAGTGTGGAGCTGTGAACTGATCCTGATTAAAAAGACCAAGCCCAAGTTTCCCACAATGGAGACCATGTAAATCAGTAGAAAGAGTAGTAAGAGAGGGAGCTGGAGCCCTGGCTCATCTGTCAGCCCCTCAAGGATAAAATAGGATACTGAAGAATGATTTCCTGCATCCATTCATCTCCCAGTTGTGATAGTTCAAATCACCTGGAGAAGTTCCCATTAGAAAAACATTGTCATCCTATAGGAATTGGTGGCTTAGGGTGATGAATGAAGTAATTTCCAACTGATCCAGAATTTGAATCATAAACCAAGTGACTCAAATATACTTTCGATTGAATCTTTATCAAGATGGTGTTAACTATTTTGGGTTCAGTGTTTATAACTCTCATGGAATTTAGAAGTGAAAATTATTTTGTTTCCAATAAATCAAGCTTTAGATTTTTACCATAAAAGAAAAATAACTCTTCTTATTTGATAACCTTCAAAGAGGATCTTACAGAGCTGCTATCTTCTTCTTTGGTTTTCGATCTGAACACTGTTCTCCTCTGACTTGGAACTTGAACACTTCCTCACTGATGTCCTTCAGTTTCTCCTGACCTCAGCAGCTTCAAGGAATTGATTTGGTTCTTGACTTCAATCACAGGAGATTTTGTCTCCCCAGCTTTGGTCCTTCCACTCCTCTCCGTTACTGGTTTTGAGTTTGCTTTAAGAGGAATAAAGCTGTGCTCTAGATGGTAGAAAGAATGGAATACCAGAAAGGGAAATCATTGTCCTGTACTGAAAGAATATGAGGAGAAGAAAAAGCAACAACAGAACAAGGTGCAGCCATTATTGAGCCCCTATCAGTTTCCAAGAACAATGTTAAGAACATTACATTTATGGCCTCATTACATCTCGTGCGATGCCATGATAATGATATATTTGCTATTACCTTTTTTGTTTTTTAATCTTCATACAAAGAGAACAGATTTCATGTATTTATAGATACAATTCTGAGAAGATAACCATATATCCCTTCCTCCTTCTCCCCCATCCTTTCCTTTTTCCCTTTGATTTTTGCAATAGCATAATTTCAATTTGCTTTATAATTATAGGCTTAATGCACCACTTGCCATAATGTTACAGAAGTAAAAATTAGAAAGACCACTGCACCACAAGAGTAAAGATAAGCACTAAAACCAAGAATCAAATCTTAAAATATCAGTTGCATTCTTATA